TCAGGGTTGATTTCCTTTAGAACTGATAGGTTTGTTCTCCTTGCAGTCCAGGGGATTCTCAAGAGCCTCCTCCAGCACCACAATTCAAAGGCATCAATTCTTCGGCGGTCTGCTTTCTTTATGGTCCAGCTCTCACTTCCATACATCACGACAGGAAAAACCATAGCTTTGACTATTCGGACTTTTGTTGGCAAGGTGATGTCTCTGCTTTTCAAGTTTGGCCTTGGAGTTCAGAACGAAGCAGGACAAAGGCTAATAGAGTTTTGTCAAGAGAATAAGCTGGTCATCACAAACACTCTTTTCCAACAACACAAGAGGCGACTCTATACATGGAAATCACCAGATGGGCAATATCGAAATCAGATTGATTATATTCTCTGCAGCCAAAGATGGAGAAGTTCTATACAGTCAGCAAAAACAAGACCTGGAGCTGACTGCGGTTCTGATCATCAGCTTCTCATAGCAAAATTCAAGCTTAGACTGAAGAGATTAGGAAAAACCACTGGGCCACTCAGGTATAATCTAAACCAAATCCCTTATGAATACACAGTGGAAGTAAAGAACAGATTTAAGGAACTAGATTTGGTGGACAGAGTGCCTGAAGAACTTTGGATAGAGGCTCGTAACATTGTCCAGGAGGCAGCAACGAAAACCATCCCAAAGAAAAGGAAAAGCAAGAAAACAAAGGGGGTGTCCAACGAGGCCTTAGAAATAGCAGAGAGGAGAAGGGAAGCAAAATGCAAGGGAGATAGGGAAAGTTACAGAAAATTGAATGCAGACTTCCAGAGAATAGCAAGGAGAGACAAGAGGGCCTTCTTAAATGAACAATGCAAAGAAATAGAGGAAGATAACAGAAAAGGAAAGACCAGAGATCTGTTCAGGAAAATTGGAGATATTAGAGGAACATTTTGCGCAAAGATGAACATGATAAAAGACAAAAATGGGAGGGACCTAACAGAAGCAGAAGACGTCAAGAAGAGGTGGCAAGAATACACAGAGGAATTATATCAGAAAGATTTGGATATCCTGGACAACCCAGACAATGTAGTTGCTGGCCTTGAGCCAGACATCCTGGAGAGTGAAGTCAAGTGGGCCTTAGAAAGCCTGGCTAACAACAAGGCCAGTGGAGGTGATGGCATTCCAGTTGAACTATTTAAAATCTTGAAAGATGATGCTGTTAAGGTGCTACATTCAATATGCCAGCAAGTTTGGAAAACTCAACAGTGGCCAGAGGATTGGAAAAGATCAGTCTACATCCCAATCCCAAAGAAAGGCAGTGCCAAAGAATGCTCCAACTACCGTACAATTGCACTCATTTCGCACGCTAGCAAGGTTATGCTCAAAATCCTACAAGGTAGGCTTCAGCAGTATGTCGACCGAGAACTCCCAGAAGTACAAGCTGGATTCCGAAGAGGCAGAGGAACTCGAGACCAAATTGCTAACTTGCGCTGGATTATGGAGAAAGCCAGAGAGTTCCAGAAAAATATCTACTTCTGCTTCATTGACTATGCGAAAGCCTTTGACTGTGTGGACCACAGCAAACTATGGCAAGTTCTTAAAGAAATGGGAGTGCCTGACCACTTTATCTGTCTCCTGAGAAACCTATATGTGGGACAGGAAGCAACAGTTAGAACTGGTCATGGAACAACTGAGTGGTTCAAAATTGGGAAAGGAGGACGGCAAGGCTGTATATTGTCCCCCAGCTTATTTAACTTATATGCAGAATACATCATGCGGAAGGCTGGACGGGAAGAAACCCAAGCCGGAATTAAGATTGCCGGAAGAAATATCAACAACCTCCGATATGCAGATGATACCACTCTGATGGCAGAAAATTAAATTAAAAATTAAAATTAAAGGTGTCCAAAGGAGTCTTCACGGGCGACAGACGGACACGCCTCCCCCTTGGGAAAGGCTCAGAACGAGTTAAACCAACAGAGTTCAGCTTTGAATCCTAGAAGGGACGAATGGAAAAACTCCTCCTCTTGGTCTGGAGACACATAGAGGGAAAGTGATAGAGAGGTGCCTCTGAAGCCACTTCAGGTGCCCTTTCTTCCCTTTTCTTCTGACTTTTGAATTCTCTCTGAAGTTTGCCAATGTTTTGGAGCCGCGAGAGATTCTTCCAAAGACGGGCGTGCATTTTATATACAGTTACCTCTGGAGGGAGAGGTGAGTTTTTAACAGAGAGAGCATCTGTCTGCAAAGGGCAAATCAGAGTTTGCTGTGATCAAACTGAGCCAAACGTGCTTTAATCTGAGGATATATTAATTCACGTTAGCCAGCAATTGCGTGTAGGGTGGGGACACGAAAAAGGGCCTTCGCACAGACTTTGGAACTCCCTTCCACTGGAAGCCATGGTGGCCCCATCTTTGCAGTCCTTCTGCAAGCATGCAAAGACCATTCCCCTTCAGGCAGGCTTTGCTTAAATGACTGGATCACCAAAGGGATTTTTATTGTATTATCACAGAATGATGGACTCGGAAGGGGCTGATAAGACCATCAATCCAACCCCCTGCTCAATGCAAGGAAAGAAATCAGATGGTTGTCCAATTTTCTCTTGAATGTCTCCAGCATTGGGGTGCTCATCATCTCCCAAGGTCATTGGTTCCATTGTCGTACTGCTCTTAACAGTTAAGAAGTTTTTCCTTATATTCAGCCTAAATCTGGCTTCCTGTAGCTTGAGCCCAATATCACGTGTTCTGTGTTCTGGAATGAGTGAGAACAGATTCTACCCCTCATCTGTATGACAGCCTTTCAAGTGGTGCCTTGACTTACGACCATTTCAAATTGCAACCAGCTCCGGTCGCAACATTTTGCTTTGACTTGCGGCCGAAGCTTTCGGTTGCAGTCAAAAGAGGGATGGAAAAATCACATTTAACTGTTGTTTGGCAAAGAGCTTCTTTGTAGCTCTTTCGCCCCAATGGTTAGTGTGTGCACATTTGCGGAGAGGCTTCGGACTGCCTGGTGCTGCTTTTTGCTTCTCGGTGAGTACATTTACAGGGTTTTGCAGGGTGGTTTTGGGTTTGGGGGGTTATGTTTCTGTGCTGTGTTTTTTTTATTTTTGGTGTGTGTGTGTTTTCCCAATTTTGTGGGGGAGTTGATTTTTTTTCTCCCAGCCCCATGGCGTTCCACTGGGGCTGGCTGTGTGGGTTTTTTAAAATTATGTATTATTGTTATTTTTCCCAGCCCCATTGCCTTCCGATGAGGCTTGGAGTGGGGTTTTTGTGTGTGTGTGATTACTGTATTTTTCCCTGCTAGAACGGATTAATGGGGTTTCAATGCATTCCTATGGGAAATGGTGTTTCGACTTATGACCATTTCAAGTTATGACCATCTTCTGGAATGGATTATGGTCATAATTTGAAAAGATAACCCCTCAGTCTTCTATTCTCAAAGCTAAACATGCTGAGTTTTTTTCAGTCTTTCCTCCTAGGGCTTGGTTTCCAGTCCCCTGATCCTCCTTGTTGCCTTCCCTCTGAACTAGCTCCAGGTTATTGCCATCTTTCTTAAAGTGCAGTGTCCAGAACAGTCTTGTTTTACTTCTGTTTTTAATATAGTTCTTCTTTGTAAGTTTAAATAACAAACAGGACGCAAAATCCTTTCCAGTTGTTCACTGCAGGTAGTCATGATTCTGAATGGAAGCTGAGTGGTCGGGGTCATCCCGCACCTGGGATAGTGTGTAAAAAATCAGCAACGGTGCTAAGCATTATTTTCTAACGTGTGCCAACCATGTTAGCTGCTTTGAGTCCCCTTATTGGGAGAAAGGTGGCCTGCAAATGACACTAACTAAAATAAATAAATAAACACTTTCTTTTCTTAAAGTAATGATTTCCATGACACATTTTCATTTTAATCTCTTTGGTTTAAAATGGAGGAGGCTTTGGCCTTTGGGCTAGTTTTAGTTATTTTAATTGACTTTTTCAAAAAAAAAACAGTAATATGATTGATTTCTTCTTAAGTGCTTTAACATTAACGATCAACATGTCTTGAATAATTGAATGTGAATACGTTAGTGCTCAGGCTAACATTTCCAAGCTGTGGGACTGCTTGGTTGGTGAATGACAGTATCGGGGAAAGGAGACTGAAATGGGGAGATGATGATGATGATGATGATGATGATGATGATGATGATGATGATGATGATGATAATAATAATAATAATAATAATAATAATAGCCTTAGAACTGCCAAGCTGAAAGGGACCCTACGGATCATCAAGACCTACCCCTGTTAAGGAGGCACCGTGGGGAATTGAACTCCACGGCCAAAGACCTAAATCATTGAACAGCAATGCAAACCCTTAAAGAAAAGTTGCCCATGGCACTTGGCCTTCCACAACCATGAGCAGCAGCATAGGGCTTGAATAAACTCCCCATATATAAATGTATGCCATAATTAAGGTTAATTGGGATGTAAGCTCTTTGGGGCTGCAACCACGGAGTACATTTTTGCCATCTAGGAGTTTTAATCCAAGAACATCTGGGGACCCAAGGTTGGGAACCACTGACCTAGACAGATGGGTCTCACTTGGATTTGAGACCCATTTAGCTGGATTTCCCCCTTGCCTTTTCCCACAATCAAAAGCAGGTCCGGCCCCTTGTTTACTCCACGATCATGGCATCAACCCACAAAATCAGTCATTGTTTTTCTCTATCGGCCTCCAAGCCCACGCAAGATGCATGGGAAAGAAAAAAACGTTGTTTGCTTCTCGGAAATCTAGAGAAATTGGGTCCTTTCAAGGAGAAAGGCGGGGTTAAATTTGTTTTAAATAAATAGGTAAGATGGTTGTTGTGGGTTTTTCGGGCTCTTTGGTCGTGTTCTGAAGGTTGTTCTTCCTAACAACTTAGCCGCCCCGAGTAGACATGGTCTAGAGGGGCGGGGTAAAAATCCAATAAATAAATAAATAAAGTTTCGCCATTCTCTGTGGCTGGCATCTTCAGAGGACAGCACACTGTGCTCTGGTGTAGTTGGCTTGGGAGTACAGTATTTATGGCTATGAGATAGGTTTTTGGCTTTTTCTGTAGATGGGTGATTAGTGTGTCTTGTTGTGGGTGTATTGTTGTGATAAGGAGAAGAGATTATCTGTCACTGTGGTTGATGGGTGTCATTAGCTGGTCTTTTGTGTGTAGTGATCCCCTGTCCTTGTGGCTGGGTAGAATTTGTTGACCTGTTTTTTTGAGAGCTGGGAGCCAAGTTTTGTTGAGCTTCACACTTTCCTCTTTCTTGTTGAAGTTCTGCTGGTGTTTGTGGATTTCAATGGCTTCCCTGTGCAGTCTGACCTAATGATTGCTGGTGGTGTCCAGTATTTCACATAGGTAAGACTCTATCAAGCAGGGCTGGGCACAGTAGAGTCCCTTCCAGAGGATCTTGGATTTTCACCAGGGGTTCTGTTGGCTGATGGGAGCTGTAGTCCAGCAACAGCTAGGACCCCACATTCCTCACTCTTGCTGCGAGGAAGTCTTCACAGGTTGAGAAGCTGAGAGCTCGAGTGGAAGCCGCGGGAAATGCTGTGGCGATGGGTGGGAAGAGGTTAAATCCACCAAGTCGAACGGTGATTTCTAGAGAGGCCTAGTAATGTCAGAAGGGGAGAGGAGAAGCCTGGGCTGGAGGAGGACCACTGGAAAGCGACTTCCTCCTTCTCTCCCCCCCTTCCATCCCTAAGAGGGGGGGAAGCACTGATGGGAAGCTAGCTTTGCAAAAATGAATAATAATCATAAACATAAATACTTGTTTTAGGTGGACAGGGGAGACAGGGGGTCTGGACCAGAGATTCGCTTCCTCTTTCCTCCCAGCTGTGCCTGGTGCAGAGCTTTTTGCTAAAAGCCAGTAAAGAAGAGGTAAGAAGAGGATGCTCGCAAGGGGCCAGGGTTGGAGGGGGGGAGCGCTGGAAGCCGAGAACTTGTCGCCAAAGGAATTGGAGAGGATGGGGTTAGGGGTGTGTGGGAATGCAAACACAGACACACCACCAGCACCAGCAACAACTGCTGCGACCAAGGGAGTCTCAGGCGAGAGAAGGGAGAAGTGGCTGAACCGAATCTGCTAGGTCTAGGACAGTGGTTTTTAACCTTGGGTCATTCAGGTGTTTTTGGACTGCAACTCCCAGAAGCCTTCACCACCAGCTGTGCTGGCTGGGGTTTCTGGGAATTGCAGTTCAGAAACACCTGAGTAACCCAAGGTTAAGAACCACTGGTCTAGGAGATCAAAACAAACCCCCCCCACACACGCACACAAAAACAAAGCCAGCATCCCCCCAAAGATTAAAATAAGGAAAGGGCGGGAAAACAATTGCACTAAAATGTTACAGGGGTTTGACTCGAACCTTGATCGCCTATTGAGATGAAAATCCAATCCCTCAGGGTAAAGAAAGCTGGAGATCAAGAGGAGTTAGAACAAGATTTTGTTTCCGTGACACACTGTCAAGCTGCTTGAAACTATGATTTAATCAACCCCAAAATGTCCTGCCATTAACACTATTCCACAAGTAAAGGCTGTGGTTTCCTTTGTTGAGTCAATCTATTTTGTGTTATGCCTTTCTCTTTTCTTACTGCCTTCCACTTTCCTCAGTGTTATTGCCTTTTCCAGTTAATATTATCATTTCATGATATGTCCAAAACAGTTTGGTGGGAGTTCAGGATTGCTTTGATGTAGAGCCCACTTCTTTGTTTTTCTGGCAGACCGTGGCATCTATGAAGCTTTTCTCCAATGCTTTTCCTTTTTAACGCTGCTGCCACCAAGGGAGTCTCAGGCGAGAGAAGGGAGAAGTGGCTGAACCGAATCTGCTAGGTCTAGGACCGTGGTTTTTAACCTTGGGTCATTCAGGTGTTTTTTGGACTGCAACTCCCAGAAGCCTTAACCACCAGCTGTGCTGGCAAGGGTTTCTGGGAGTTGCAGTTCAGAAACATCTGAGTAACCCAAGGTTAAGAACCACTGGTCTAGGAGATCAAAACAAACCCCCCCCACACACGCACACAAAAACAAAGCCAGCATCCCCCCAAAGATTAAAATAAGGAAAGGGCGGGAAAACAATTGCACTAAAATGTTACAGGGGTTTGACTCGAACCTTGATCGCCTATTGAGATGAAAATCCAATCCCTCAGGGTAAAGAAAGCTGGAGATCAAGAGGAGTTAGAACAAGATTTTGTTCCCGTGACACACTGTCAAGGTGCCTGAAACTATGAATTAATCAACCCCAAAATGTCCTGCCTTTTAACACTACACATCAGGTCTTGAAAGGTAAAGGCAGTGGTTTCCTTTGTTGAGTCAATCTACTTTGTTACATGCCTTTCTCTTTTCTTACTGCCTTCCTCAGCGTTATTGCCTTTTTCCAGTTAATACTGTCTTTTCATGATATGTCCAAAACAGTTTGGTGGGAGCTCAAGATTGCTTTGATGTAGAACCCACTTCTTTGTTTTTCTGGCAGACCGTGGCATCTATGAAGCTTTTCTCCAATGCTTTTCCTTTTTAACGATTTAACTTTTTCTTATAGCATTCTTCATTATCTCTCTCTTTGTTCATTGGAATTGGGAACACCATCGTCGCCAATTACCCCTCTTCTTATACTAGTTCTTTGATAGCTACCTTCTGAATCTCTATCTTTTTCCAATTTCTTGGCTTCAGTCTCCATTAGGCTTGTGATTGAACTGAGATACAGACAATCTTTAGAATGTCAATTTCTGCATGGTTGACATGAAAATCAGGTAGTTGTTCAGTAGTCATGATTTCCCCCCCCCTTCCTTCTTAATGGTCAACTTTATTTCATTTGAAATATGGTGCTGGAGGAGAGCTTTGAGGATACCCGGGGCTGTCAGAAAGATGGATAATTGGGTCGTAGATCAAATCAAGTCTGAACTATCTCTGGAGGCAAAACTGATGAGAACTGAGGTTGTCCTACTTTGGGCACATCCTGAGAAGGCAGGATTCTCTGGGAGAAATAACAATGCTGGGAAAGGTGGAAGGCAGCAAGAAAAGAGGAAGACCAAATACGAGATGGACTGAATCCCTAAAGGAAGCCACAGGCTTGCATTTACAAGAGCTGAGCAGGGCGGTTGAGGATGGGACCTTTTGGAGAATCGCTCATTCACAGGGTCACCGTAAGTTGGAGGCGATTTGCGGGCTCGTAAAAAATGATAAACTGCAAGTCATGCTTTTGAACATTCTTCTTTCAGCTTTGCTAGTACAGTAATTTCAGGTCGTTCCTACTTCTTGCCCATAATATGGTTTCATCCGCATACCTTAAATGAATTATGTTTCTTCTGCCAATCTTCACTCGTCTTTCAAATGAAACTAATCCAGTTTTTTGGGTGATATGCTCCACATATGGTTTGAGCAGACAGAGATCTGGTTCTGGTTCTGAATTTTACACAAAATACAACAACACAAGCAAAATGGGAAAAATAAAATTACACAAAATGGAAGCAAGAAGAAGGGGACAGTTTCAAAATTGCAGATAGAAAACCTGCATCAGCAGCGGTCAAAGAATTACATTCATCACTCATAAAAATGAAAGAATTGACTCAGGTGAATTGACAGAGATCTAAATATATCTTTGTCTCATTTGTCTTGTCCAGAGTATAGGTTATACATAAAAGGATGAAATGTGGTGGCACACACATTTCTTTTAATCCATAGCTTTTCATGATCCACGCCATGAAATCTGAAAAAAACTATAAAGCACAAACGGATTTTTCTTATAAAATCTTTTGGAGTGGCCAGCATACATTTGCAATTTGCTCTCTATGACCTCTTTCTTTTCTGGATCCAGCTTGAACATCTGGTTTTCTCGCTCCCTAGGAAGTTAGAAATCTTTGTTGAAAGTCTTGAGTATCACTTTACTTGCAGGGGAAATTAATGCAATCATCCTGAATTGTTCTGTGCTGGTGAAATACTTGCAGGAGTAAAGGAGACGGGGGCAAGGGTTTTTCTGAGTGTAAGTCGTAAGGGAAGTTCAAGAGATTGGATAACTTAAAAAAACAAAATCTTGGCTAATTTAACAGAGTATATACTACTAGAGCAAATAAAGGGTACTTTTTTTGATGTGACAGTGGTGTGGATTAACATTCAGGAGCCCAAATGTTAATGGCAGGGAGCACCAAATTAACATTCCCTGCTTGTTTGGTGGGATCCTCTAGCTACAGAAGAGTAGATAATATATAGAAAAGGGAGTGTGTGTACAATTACACAATGAGTTTCATGACTCTGTGGAGAATTGAATCTGGATATTTTATATCCCCCTTGGACAGTGTCATCGAAGCGACCAACATGAATTTGACCCAACTCCGGGAGGCAGTGGAAGACACTGGCGTGCTCTGGTCCATGGGGTCACGAAGAGTCGGACACAACTAAACGACTAAACAGCAACAACCTCTTATATCCCAGTCTGTTACTGTACCACTGTGCCAAAGGCACATGAGAAGATCATGACTCTGGACTGCAAACTCTGTAAGGATGAAGCTATAAGGAGAAGATGGACTGGAGCTCGCTGGAGAAAAGGTGAACTATCTGCCATTGCAACTAATAAATCATTCCTTCCCTTTCCCTGTGCAGGAGACCCGATCTTCCTAAGTGAAAGCTGCGACCACCTCCTGCAGTTGGAGAAGAGAACCTCATTTGTCTCCCCCAAAAGGAAGCCTCAACTTCAAAAGGTGCTGTCCCCAGCAGTTTTAAGATTGTCCTGCATCTGAAACAGGTGACTCGGAGTTTTGGAACACTTTGGGAAACGCAATAGCGGTGGCTCCACCAGGTTGAGAAATGGAGGAGCAGGACGAGGCTAGCTCCAAAATACGGGACGGGGTGCGAGAGGAAGGGAAAAGACACCCACCGACTGTCCATACGGAGAGTATCGGGACCTTCTCAAGTAAGGCTCCTCTGCAGCTTCTTAAACAGGAACCCGAAGAGGGGTGGCGGCAGCATTGGGAAGCCCCGTGGCCGAAGAGTGTGCAGGGTCCTGACCCTCGAACCCAGCCCCAAGCAGCAGCAGGAAAGGACGTGAAGGATTTATCGACTTTTGTTGGTGCCACTCAGTGGTCCGGAAGAGGATGGGGGGTCCCGGCTTTGCCACACCTCAGTGGAGAAGCCCCAAAGGCCCACAGAAGCCCAGACTTCGCCGGGAAAGTAAAGGAAGAGGTTCCAAGCGAGGGTGCCGGCATCCATTCAGAGATGAGACGCCAGCTCTTCCGGCAGTTCTGTTACCAAGGGGCCAAAGGGCCCCGGGAGGTCTGCCAGCGGCTGCAGGAGCTTTGTCATCGGTGGCTGAAGCCGGAGAGGCACACCAAAGAGCAGATCTTGGAGCTGCTGGTCCTGGAGCAGTTCCTGACCATCCTGCCCCTGGAAATGCAGAGCTGGGTCCGAGAAGGCGGTCCAGAGAGCTGCCACCAGGCAGTGGCCCTGGCAGAGGGCTTTCTGATGGGGCGTCGAGATAGCAAAAAATGGGGGCAGCAGGTGAGAAGTTGGAATCTCAAAGGATCTGGTTTTTAATTAGTCCAAGAGATGAGTTCTGTATCTCTATAGATGTGGCTAGATTACAACTCCCATCATCCAGCAAGGGTCAAAGGCTCTCCATCCTGGTGTTAGAATTTCAAAGTCTGCCAAATGAAGCGTATGTATACACCCCGATACATGAAGTAATAGGATTCTGGCCACTACTTGTTATAAGCACAAAGTAACATAACTTCTCCCCAACTCCCAAAAGTAATGTTTCAAGCTGTCCCTCCCCCTATGAACCCCACATGGATGGGCCTGCATGTGCAAATCATGTGAATTACAAAAACTCAGGGGTTTCTAAGTGCCTCTTATAAGAAGCCAAAAGCTGTTGTTAAAACAGTTAGAAATCAGCTCAAAAACCTCGACTCGAGTTGAAGCTGTATAAATACACTAAAAAGTTCCTAAATCTTGATGGCTTGGGAACTGGTTGGCCTTTCTCACTCATAAGGAAGATCCATGAACTCTAATGGGACTTCTTGTACAGCCAGTTTTTGGACTGCTGTTCTCAGAAACCCCAGGCAGCACAGCTGGTGGTGAAGGCTTCTGGGAACTGCAGTCCAGGAACATCTGGAGGCCCAAGGTCAGGGACCACTGCCATAGGGGACCAAAGTGGTTCACAAAACTCTGAAACCAATGTAGTGCTGAACTAGGAAATCAACACTAAAAACAAACCTAAGGGAATGTCTTTGATGCTCATCCACACTCTTGTATTTGCAATCACCACGTATGAGTGTGAAAGGTGGACAGCTAAGAAAGCTGAAAGAAACTGATTCGTTTGAAATGTGGTGCTGGAGGAGAGGAGCAAGCTTTGTGGATACTCTAGATTGCCTGAAAGATAAACAAAGGGAACCAAGATCAGATCAAGTGTGAACTATATCTAGAGGCAAAAAAAAATGCTGAAATGGAGGCAATCCTATGTTGGGCGCATCCTGAGAAGGCAGGATTCTCTGGAAAAGACAATAATGCAGGGAAAGGTGGAAGGCAGCAGGAAAAGAGGAAGACCAAATACGGGATGGAATGACTCCCTAAAAGAAGCCACAGGCTTGAATTTGCAAGAGATGGGCAGGGCTGTTGAGGGCAGGACATTCTGGATGCTGCTTATTGATTTAGTTGTCGTAAGTCAGGGCTGTCTTGACGGCTCATAACAACAACAGGAATTAGGGCTTGAAGCAAATAATGCTGAACCATCTCAACCCATCCCACTGTGAAGACGTCATCCTCAGCGTGGTCAGGACACAGATACCCTACCACTCTGAAAGACCAATACAGGGGATCACACAAGCCGGAAAGTGAAAGAACGAAAGTGGAAATCTCACCCAAAAGTGCAGCTTTGCTGGCGAAACAAAACGTACGAGGTAGACATGGGAAAGGGTCGGGTCACATCGTGATTAGCTTTACGTCAGGTTGGGGATGGAAAGTACATTGAAATTAACCCCCTGAACTGCTGCTGCCCAGAGAGCAGGACGATTTCCAATGTAGTTGCACCCTTAAGGCGTTCTTTCTTGGCCTTTCTGTTCCTCCAGGTGCCATCCCCTTGCACAGAAGGGGCCTCAAATTCCTCTGATGCAGACTTGGCTCCATCCGACTTGTGGAACAGGGGAGTCTGCAAAACCACCAAGCAAGAGCAAGGGAAAGAGAGAAGCTCTGCAGGTAAGGAGATGCAGTCACTGGAGGCTCCATCTATTTATTTATTTGTTAGATTTATACCCCACCCACCTAGACCGATGTCTACTCTGGGCAGCTAGTTATCAAAACAGTAATTAGAGTGTGAGCACAACCATTCTGGCTTTTCTGTAGGGCCCCCCTTATCCACAGGATCACTGTCCGCTGATTCATTTATCCATGGTCTGAAAATATTACAATTATTAAAAGAAAAATCCCCAAAATATATATTTCTAACAATGAAGTTATCAGAATTAGCCATTAGAGAAAGCGAGAGACCATGCTATGTATAGCAGAGGTCCCCAGTCCCCCAGTCCGCAGCCCAACGCCGGTCTGTGGCCTGGGCTGGATTGGGCCATGGAGACAGATCTCCCACCCACCCCCGCACGCACTCCCCTCTTGCCCCTTTGTGCATGCTTGTGTGAGTGCGCCCCACCCCTTCACACATGCGTGCAAGCACGGGAGGCTGTCCCGCCTTCCCCACACAGGGACCCCGTCTTCCCCCAACTGGTCTGTGGTGTCGAAAAGGTTGGGGACCACTGATGTATAGCATTTACTATGATATCAGTGTTTGCTCTCATCCTCATTTTTCAGCATCCACAGGGAGAGTTGGAACCGATCCCTCACAGATATGGGGGTCCTACTCTATATTCTTATTCATTACAATTATATTCTGTCATTCCTCCAATAAATTCAATACAGTAGGACTGTGGTATCCACTGGGGGATTGGTTCCAAGACCCCCGCTCCAGCTTTATTATCATCACAACCTTCCTGTGAGGTAAGCCACAGTGAGAGAACCAGGGTAAAAAACAATTATAATCCAATAAATATATTTACAAATTTTTAAAAGTGACCTTTTAAAATACTACTTAATGGACATGGCATCACCATCATTGGTAAACGTTATTTATTTTATTTTGTGACTTTTCCTGGAGAAACTTAAGACAGCATCTGTAACTATTCTCACATTACAAATAGAGTACGTGAATGTGAGGCACCTGGGAGAAAAGCCTACATTAGAAAGCTTGGAGGCTTAGCTAAGCCAAGCTTCCCATTTCAGCCCCACTTCTAGCTGGAAACTTTCTGAGTGAGAAGCTTTGAGCGGAGCTAGGCCTAGTGAGGCCCTCAAAGCCCTCTGCTCTAGGCCTTTCTCCCAGGTGAGCCAAATTTAGGTGTCTGTAAAGTGCCTGCAAAGCAGACAGAACTTCCAGAATGCAGAAGGATGCTGTGGGTAATCCAGAAAATCTGAAACTCCTATCTCTCATTCTGGCTGTTGTTATGCTTCCAATTTGTTTTTTTCTTCCTTGCAGATGATGGGCAAATGGGAAAAAGCCTTCACCATCAGGAAAGCTCAGATCAGGTGGAACCACACGATGCCTCTGTGAGAATTGGGCTGGTTTTCGAACATTACAAAGAGGAAGCCACGCTTTGGGGTCAACAGAGGACATCAAGCAAGCAAGAGGAAGACTCAGAAAATAAGGTGGATGAAGCTAAAGTCTGCTGGGAAGGCGCCTTCCATGGGAAAGAAACCAAAGTCCAGGTTCAAGCAGTTCAGGATGGTAAAGAACCCGCTAACGGTGATGGCAGCTTCAGAGCAAATGGTGGCTTTCTTAAATGTGAAGCCACTGCTGCCGGTGACAAAACGTTCAAGACCTCCGATTGTAGAGAGACCTTCTTTCAGAGTTCCAGCCTCACCCCAAACGAGCTAAGCTACACAGGGGACAGGAGATTCAAATGCTCCGAATGCGGGAAGAGCTTTAACCAGAAGCGGTACCTCACGGGGCACAAGAGGATCCACAAAGGGGAGACCCCTTACAAGTGCTCAGACTGTGGGAGAAGCTTCAATCGGAAGTGGAACCTTATCGCCCATAAGCGGATCCACTCGGGGGAGAACCCGTACGAGTGTTCGGACTGCGGGAAAACCTTCAGCCAAAAGGGGAACCTCATAACTCACGTGAGGATCCATACGGGGGAGAAGCCCTATAAGTGTGCCGAGTGTGGGAAAAGATTCAGCCAGAGAGCTGGCTTGACCTCTCACAGGAAAAGCCATATCAAAATCAACGCCGTAGGAAAAGCTACTGTGGGTTATCTGATTTTCTTAAACCTGAGTGAATCTGGACAGGAAGGGAGCCCCACGGAGGCCTAAGAGGGTGGAGGAAAGAGCTTAACACGGACCTCGGAACATTTTGACGGATGAAAAATAAACCATACGGCAGAAAAGACTTAGAATTCCTGATTGTAATCGAAACAGGGTGTGATCACATTATCATCAAGAAGCAAGAAATGTATAGGAGGGGGAAGATACCAGAAATCTTAAAAACCAATCTGTGCAAATGGCAGCCCCATGGGAAAATTATTGCTGGGTTATATGTCTTTAGATTGAGGGGAAGGATCATGTGCACAGTTAAATAATAATACAGTGGTGCCCCGCATAGCAATGATAATCCGTGCCGAAAAAAATCGTCGCTATCCAGATTCGTCGCTATGCGGGGCAAAAAACCCCATAGGAACACATTAAAATGGGTTTAATGCGTTCCAGTGGGGGGAAAACTCACCACTATGCAGAAATCCTCCATACGGCCGCCATTTTCGCCGGCCAGTATGCGAGGAAACCGTGCGAAAATGCTGTGGGCATTGCACCCCATGGGAAAATTATTGCTGGGTTATACGTCTTTAGATTGAGGGGAAGGATCATGGGCACAGTTAAAAAATAATAATCTCTATATTAAAAAGAAGAAACAATCATCGTCCCATAAAAATCTAAAGGTCAGGGAGAAACATTCTACGCTGGCATGGCTTGCATAATATGGAAATCTCATGTCAAAAACAAGCAAGCACTCCCCCTTGCATCTAGAAATCTAGATGCTGAGGAGAAAATTATACTACCCCCATTTTCCTGGTGAGCTGGTTTTCTATATGCATGGATCAGTGGGTAAAGCAGGGAGCATTCAAAGAACACCTATCGTTAAACGGAGCGCTTGTTAAGCGAGGCACCACTGTAATCTTTATATTAAAAAGAAGAAACAATCATCATCCCATGGTCATCGTCCCATAAAAATCTAAAGGTCAGGGAGAAACATTCTACGCTGGCATGGCTTGCATAATATGGAAATCTCATGTCAAAAACAAGCAAGCACTCCCCCTTGCATCTAGAAATCTAGATGCTGAGGAGAAAATTATACTACCCCCATTTTCCTGGTGAGCTGGTTTTCTATATGCATGGATCAGTGGGTAAAGCAGGGAGCATTCAAAGAACACCTATGATGCTTAGTTATCTGATTCGTCCAGAGATTTATTTAATTTTTTTTTGCTGTTTGTGCAGATCAGGGGAGGAGGCCACAGAATTTCTTTTGCTAAAGACCATTTTAAAAGCCATACAATCTCTTTTTGTATTTTATTCATATACCCACATAATCCCTTTTGGTATACTCTTGCAGTGCACTTTCTGTGAGGGGATAGAGCAAGGAACGTGACTTTTGGGCCTCCCCCTTCCACTGAAGACACAGGGGCAGCCTAAGATAATTTGGGACCTGAGGCAAAGGACAAGATGGTTCTCTTTCCGTGAGAAAGTCTTGCTTCCTGGTTGTTGAATCGTTCCTTCAACACAGGAGAGCCGCACAGCACCTTCTGCTGCATCTGAGGGAAGCAGGGCTAGTTTTGGGGACCACAGGCTGTGAAAACTGAACAGTTGTACAGAAATAAAAGCTGGGGTGCAGCACCCTAGTTATAGAGCAGATCTGAATAGGGTTGGAATTTCCCTCAGCAAAGCTTGTTCTTTTCTGTGTTTTAAGATTTTATCTTGGGTTGGATGTGACGGCCTTCTCGGCCCCTTCCAACTCAATGGTTCTTCAATTTTATGAAATCCTCACTATCTGCACAGCTCCCCTCTTTCCTTGGAGTATCTTCCTCCACGCCGGCTTTTGGCTGTCCTTCGCCCTGTTTCTCTTTCGTCACAGAGTCCTCTTGGAATCTGTAGCAGAAGCAGACGTGGGACTAGAACCCAGCCATACTGGGCCAACAGACAGGGCTTTTATGGGGCCCACTGGGATTGAGGTCTTTTCCACCATCACTGCCCCATTGTAGATCCCTATCCACAAGGCCATCACTGTCAGCTTCCCTCCCCCCAGTCAGTTCTGTTGCCACTCAGCCCCCCACCCAACATGGAAACCTTAGGATTGAGGGAACCAGGATGCTGCGAGGGGTGGGGTGGTTTCTACAGTGTAGTATGTAGTCACCACGTTCTAGGTAGTTTCCAGCATGTGGTTTGGAAGATATGTTTTCAAGTTGGGCCCCCTTGACTAATGCAAGCTTGGGGGGGGGTTCCATGTAAATACATCCTTTTATTCTCTCTCAACCCCCACACCCTTGCATAGTTGAGGCAAGCAGAATCGCAGAGCAGTTATATACCAAATAAATCCAAAACATTTATTTGGTATATAACTGGATGGGGAATGGCAACTTCCTTGTTTATATAATTAATCTATAAATGCAGATTAGGCCATCCGTGCACTTTTCCTTTCATTTGGTAAATTCCTTCTAGAGCAGTAGTTCCCTACCTTGGGAACCCTAGAGGTTATTGCACTACAACTCCCAGAAGCCTTCACCAGTAGCTGTGCTGGTGGCCAGGATTTCTGGGAGTTGTAGTCCAAGAACCTCTGGGGACCCAAGGTTAGAAACCACTGCCCCCCGAGCCTAGAGAAGGGGGACTTTCAATCGTATGGAGTATCAAGGAAGGCGAGATGGAAATAAATTGGAAGCTTTCTTGTCAGTGAGACAGGCTTTTTTTTTTCTTCCAAGAAAGCGAAAAAGAACAATCATAATGGTCGTTGTGGGTTTTTCGGGCTCTTTGGCCGTGTTCTGAAGGTTGTTCTTCCTAACGTTTCGCCAGTCTCTGTGGACGGCATCTTCGGAGGACAGCACTCTGTGCTCTGGTGTAGGTGGCTTGGGAGACGACCATTAGATCCCAGCCGGGAAAGCCTTCGCGAATACAGCAATCATCATGTCCATCTCCTCTGCTACCAGCATCCTCTTCGCCTCTTCTGGGAAAAGAAGTGGGGATCTCAAGGGTTCTGCCACTCAGTCCTCCAAGGGTAATGGAGTAGGAAGGGTCGCTGATGGGGCAGAAGAAATAGGCCTGTATGCATCATGTGGGGGTGTAAAGATTAGCTTATGATCTACAACAATTCCAAGGTCCTGGAAAAAGCCAGAGAGTTCCAAAATAAACATCTACTTCTGCTTCATATTGTGCCTCCCTCCCCCAGCCACTTAGCTCCTGACAGAGAGTTCCAGAAAAAGATCTGCTTCATGTTCTGCCTCCCCCCCCCGCCCTGCTTAGCTCCTGAAAACTCAAGCCTGGGGCTTCCTTTAGGGAATCAGTCCATCTCGTATTTGGTCTTCCTCTTTTCCTGCTTCCTTCCACTTTTTCCAGCATTATTGTCTTTTCCAGAGAATCCCGCCTTCTTACGACGTGCCCAAAGCAGGGTAGCTCCAGTATCAATATTTTAACCTCCAGATCTAGTTCAGGCTTGATTAGCTCTAGGGCCCACTAGTCTGTCTTTCTGGCAGTTCAGGGTACCTGCAAAGTTCTCCTCCAGCGCCACATTTCAAAGGAAACTATTCCCCCCCCCCATGTCAGCTGATAATCCTCAATACGCTGGAATTCCCGGAGGGGTGGGGTGGGGATGTAAAAACATCTCTGAACCTCAATGAGAACTAGAATCACTGGGAATCATGCCCTCAACACGTCGTATTTCCTCCCAAGGTAGATCTGCCTAGTGGGTTGCTGTGCTCTCACTGTTGGGGAAGTAGGGAAGAAAATGCAGCTGAGGGAGCAGTGTAGCCTAGTGGTTGGCGTTTTGGCCCAAATGCGGCTGGATTAGCATTGACTGCGTCCATGTGGCCACAAGAGGGCTGTATAAGATCCTGAGAGAGAAAGAGAGAGACTTCTCTCTCTCTCTCTCTCTCTCCCCCCCCTCCCCCGGGTGTTTTACTTCAGAGAAAGAAATACGGAGTTTCCCACGACTTGCGTCACCAAGTGCAATCCGGGGCCCCCTTTCCCTCCCCCCCTCTTCCCCTTCGAAGCAAAAGAGCGGATGCTTCTTCTCTCCATCACCATCAGCTGCTGGAAGATAGAGCCAGGGCGCGAGGCAGGGGCGCGCGAGTGCGAACGTGGCAGCCAAGCGCACGTGTGAATGAACAAAGCGCCTCTCCCGGCGAGGATCCCAATCCGTGTCTATTGTCTGGTAGGAAGAGGAGCGGCTGGCCGGGGTTTTGGAAAGAGTTCTGGAAGCTGAAGTCCCACGAAGAAGCGTGTCCAAACTCTGCGAGAGGAGTGGATGTATTGATTTCTTTTATTTTTAAACTCCAAAATGCTCAGCATCAGGATGGGACCGTGCAGGACGGAAGGATAAGGATGCGCTGTTTCTGGTGAAATAAATGAATTGTTTTTTAGTATCAACTTGGGAATTTTGGGGTGGGGGTGTGTGTATTGTGTGCGCCAGCGCCTCAGGCGGCAAAATAGTCTGGGTCAGCTCTGCCTTGCAGGCAGCAGCTTTTCGGTGCCCTGAAAAGGCAGCAGGAGGACGTTAGTGATAAATTAAATTTTTGCTGTATTTTACTGGCTAGGATCGGGAGAAAAGGTTAGGGGATAATCTGTAACAGGTGCCATAATAATCCGGATTGATCAAGTTTGAAAAGCGGTGTCGCCTCCCCTTCCAGCCAAACAGGAGTTTATTTAAGCAAGCTTTTGTCCCTAAAGATGGAGAAAAGCCGTTTCTCCCACCTGGTCTGAGGAGAAACTTGATCCCTCCCGCGGATGTAACAGGCTTTGCAATCTCCATTTTGGGACATTATTTTAACGTGGCTCTTGATGCTACAGCATCGGGTCAGGGTGGATGTTAGGCTCTTCTGCCTCAGATAAAGAGCCCTGTTGGGCTCAAAAGCTTGCCTGTTTTTAATATCTGAATAGAGCAATAAAGGTCTTAGCAGTCCTTTGTTTTGTTTGTTTTGGTTTTTTTTTTGTTTTGTACAAGGACCACACAGCTTCTGTTTTCATAATAATGTTATTGTTCTTGGGATTGTTTGTTTTGTTTTGTTTGTTTGTTTTGTACAAGGACCACACAACTTCTGTTTTCATAACTATGTTATTGTTCTTGGGGAGTATGCACCTTGAGTTTCAGAAGTGGGGGAGCATTTTCTGTTGTGTACCGGGCAAAAAACCCAACAACCCCCAAAACCCTATGAGGCTTGCCCTGCTCAATATATTTTGTATGGCTCTGGCATCACCTCCACCCACTCCTGTCCTTTTCACCCCCAGATCTCAGATCTACAAACACTCCCAAGGGTGATGGTAAGACCCCAGCAAGGGTTTTTTTTTTCTTCCAACGCTGGGGGGCTGTAGTCCACAAAAATTTATACCTAATTAAACTTCAGGCTCCATAAGATGCTTTTGAAGTCTTTGCTACAACAGATGAATAATACAGCATATTCCTGAAGTCTGCACTTCCCTCACCGCCCCACATCCAATTATGAATTCAGACTGATCTCTTCTTCATCAAAGTCCTTTCATCATCTCCTAATAGGTCTTAGGGGGACAAAGGAAGCCCGAGAAAATTGCAGTGGGTCTCTAGGGAAAAAGCGAAGTGTCAGGGCAAGCAATTGTGAGTGAGGAAAAAGTTTGATTTGTGCATATATGTTGACAGCATTGTTGCATAGATGGCTTGTTATTCAGGCAGGGAGATCTCTTCCCTACCCCGTTCGGGGTAAGGTCCTAGCTCATGAGCAGCCCCTGGTTTAATGCCTGGGGACCCATTTCTTCCTCACTCCTGACTCCTGACAGGAAAATCATTAGCATGGCATAAAGATATGTGTATGTGTGTTATGTTCATATTATTTGTCCCAGATGCAATGCAGAACATCCATACAATTTGTCTCATTCTAATACACAGACACACCTACAGGTATCACGGCCAGAGTCCAACCCAACATTTATATTTGCTACAACTGCAGTGGCATCACTTTCAGAGGTGAACGAGTCCCCGACCGAATTCCTGGTCATATGCCAGGTCATGCGACGGGTGCACAACCAGGGATTTGACTGGGAAGTTGTTACCTAGTCACTGTTCACCACTCAGAGTTGTGTTGTGGGCATTGGTGACACTGTCAGATTAGCTAGATCTAATCTAATTAATCTAATCACATGTCTCCCACCTGCCGGGTCCTGAAATCTTAAGGAATGGTAAATTGCTAACTGGCAATCCTACTGAAGGGTGACACATGTTGCACAGCTAGTAGCCATCAGCCATAAAAAGTATATATAACCATTGTCATCTACTGTATATCAATAGTTCCCAACCTTGGGTCTCCAAACATTCTTGGATTGCAACTCCCAGAAGCCTTCATTGCTAGCTGGATTAGCAAGGGTTTCTGGGAGTTGTAGTCCAAGAATGTGGACCCAAAGCTGGGAATAATTGGTCTATATAAAAGCTCGTGATGGTGGGCTTATGTTTCCTGATGTATCTCAAGAGCCTACTGTTTGGTATACTTTTTAAAATCCTACCCTTCTTTTTTCTTATTTTTCATCTTCTCTTTCAGACAGGCTGTACATCCAGTCCATCTTTCTAACTAGAAATCTTCTTATCTGTTCCTGGAATTCTGACAGCGAAATGGAACGTACTATAACTTGGTTAGGGGTTTATCGAAAGCAGGGGTGAAAGCAACAGAAAAGGAACAGACTGGTGATATTCTTCAGTGAGACTCCCAGTGCTAGGTGGACTTCTTCCCCATTTACAAACAGCAGGTGGGAGGGGGAGCTTTGCCAACTGCTGATGCAACTCTTGCATGTCTCAGAGATGAAGCTGATCCCGTTTGCATCCCTTCAGGTGAAAAGGTGAAGGCTGTAGCGATACAGCAGGTGCACAAACCTCTTGCATTTCAGGTGCAGAAATGAGTATCTCTGATGTGTTCAAAAAAGAAAATGAGGATAATGCTGGAGTTTTGCTGTACATACAGTAGGTTCCCCTATCCACAGGGAATTGGTTCCAGCCCCCGCAGATGCTGAAAAATGCGGATTATAGCAAATGCTATTACTGTATAAAAGTGAACACTGTGCATAGCTTGGGAATACAGTATGTATACTTTTTTGGAATACAGTGGTGCCTCGCATAACGAGCGCCCCGTTTAACGACGAATCCGCATAGCGATGCAGATTTTGCAATCGCAAAGCGATCGCATTGCGATGTTTTGCCAACAGCTGATCGGCGGTTCCAAATTGGCTGCCAGGTCAACAAAATGGCTGCCCGTAGCATTTTTGCGCGGTTCCCTCGCTTACCAAGGCGGCGAAAATGGCGGCCGGATGGAAGATCTCCGCATAACGGTGAGTTTTTCCCCCATAGGAATGCATTAAACGGGGTTTAATGCGTTCCTATGGGTTTTTTTGCCCCGTATAGCGACCATTCCGGATAGCGACGATTTATCCGGAACGGCTTATCGTCACTATGTGGGGCACCACTGTATTTTTAAAAAATATTTTTCAGACTATGGGTAAGTGGATCTGCGGATGCTGATCCTGCAGATAAGGGGGTCCTACTATATTTGGATCCCAGATCTCTGGAGATCTCCCACCACAGTATACAATGTTGCACTGCCCTTAGCAGAAGAAGGCCACTTCCAGATAAACCCCTGCAATCCTTCCATGAGAATTTTGAACTATGGCAGGAAATTGCAAACTGCTGGCATTGGCGCAGAAAGAGGAGATTCACCTCATTGTGCTTACATGAAAGTGGCTGACTTGATCACGTGGAAATAATACTGAGTTTTGAGAAGGTGGTCTTTCCATGTCTTCTGGTATATCTTAGCTTTGTTTTATCTGTGGGTGGTGATCAGATAGTTGTAAAAACATACATCTAATTGTATTGGAAAAGGTTGCTTTGTTGGGAGCGGTCTTCCTGAAACTGCCCTTCCTTCTGCTGGGGAAATCACTTCAGCCTGCCCCTCCCCAAAGCCCTCCAGCTGGACCAAAATATTTTGCTTATCTATCATACCTGTAGAGAAGTGAGAGTGATCTTAACCGACCAGATAGGCGGGATATAAATAAAATAAATAAATAAATAAGGTCCAAAATGGTCCAACTTGTGCACACATTGGGGTTGGGCAGTTCATTCCCCCGTGTATTGTGTGATCAGCTTAGCAGTCCTTTGTTTTGTTTGTTTTGTTTTGTTTGTTTGTTTTGTACAAGGACCACACAACTTCTGTTTTCATAACTATGTTATTGTTCTTGGGGAGTATGCACCTTGAGTTTCAGAAGTGGGGGAGCATTTTCTGTTGTGTACCGGGCAAAAAACCCAACAACCCCCAAAACCCTATGAGGCTTGCCCTGCTCAATATATTTTGTATGGCTCTGGCATCACCTCCACCCACTCCTGTCCTTTTCACCCCCAGATCTCAGATCTACAAACACTCCCAAGGGTGATTGTAAGATCCCAGCAAGGTTTTTTTTTTCTTCCAACGCTGGGGGGCTGTAGTCCACAAAAATTTATACCTAATTAAACTTCAGGCTCCATAAGATGCTTTTGAAGTCTTTGCTACAACAGATGAATAATACAGCATATTCCTGAAGTCTGCACTTCCCTCACCGCCCCACATCCAATTATGAATTCAGACTGATCTCTTCTTCATCAGAGTCCTTTCATCATCTCCTCATAGGTCTTAGGGGGACAGAGGAAGCCGGAGAAAATTGCAGTGGGTCTCTGGGGAAAAAGCGAAGTGTCAGGGCAAGCAATTGTGAGTGAGGAAAAAGTTTGATTTGTGCATATATGTTGACAGCATTGTTGCATAGATGGCTTGTTATTCAGGCAGGGAGATCTCTTCCCTACCCCGTTCGGGGTAAGGTCCTAGCTCATGAGCAGCCCCTGGTTTAATGCCTGGGGACCCATTTCTTCCTCACTCCTGACTCCTGACAGGAAAATCATTAGCATGGCATAAAGATATGTGTATGTGTGTTATGTTCATATTATTTGTCCCAGATGCAATGCAGAACATCCATACAATTTGTCTCATTCTAATACACAGACACACCTACAGGTATCACGGCCAGAGTCCAACCCAACATTTATATTTGCTACAACTGCAGTGGCATCACTTTCAGAGGTGAACGAGTCCCCGACCGAATTCCTGGTCATATGCCAAGTCATGCGACGGGTGCACGACCAGGGATTTGACTGGGAAGTTGTTACCTAGTCACTGTTCACCACTCAGAGTTGTGTTGTGGGCATTGGTGACACTGTCAGATTAGCTAGATCTAATCTAATTAATCTAATCACATGTCTCCCACCTGCCGGGTCCTGAAATCTTAAGGAATGGTAAATTGCTAACTGGCAATCCTACTGAAGGGTGACACATGTTGCACAGCTAGTAGCCATCAGCCATAAAAAGTATATATAACCATTGTCATCTACTGTATATCAATAGTTCCCAACCTTGGGTCTCCAAACATTCTTGGATTGCGACTCCCAGAAACCTTCATTGCTAGCTGGATTAGCAAGGGTTTCTGGGAGTTGTAGTCCAAGAATGTGGACCCAAGGCTGGGAATAATTGGTCTATATAAAAGCTCGTGATGGTGGGCTTATGTTTCCTGATGTATCTCAAGAGCCTACTGTTTGGTATACTTTTTAAAATTCTACCCTATTTTTTTTCCTTATTTTTCATATTCTCTTTCAGACAGGCTGTACATCGAGTCCATCTTTCTAACTAGAAATCTTCTTATCTTTTCCTGGAATTCTGACAGTGAAATGGAACGTACTATAACTTGGGTAAGGGTTTATCGAAAGCAGGGGTGAAAAGGAACAGACTGGTGATATTCTTCAGTGAGACTCCCAGTGCTAGGTGGACATCTTCCCCATTTACAAACAGCGGGTGGGAGGGGGAGCTTTGCCAGCTGCTGATGCAACCCTTGCATGTCTCAGAGATGAAGCTGATCCCGTTCGCATCCCTTCAGGTGAAAAGGTGAAGGCTGTACTGATACAGCAGGTGCACAAACCTCTTGCATTTCAGGTGCAGAAGTGAGTGTCTCTGATGTGTTCAAAAAAGGAAATAAGGCTAATGCAGGAGTTTTGCTGGGCATACAGTAGGCTCCCCTATCCACAGGGAATTGGTTCCACACACACACACCCCGTAGATGCTGAAAAATGCAGATTATAGCAAACGCTATTACTGTACTGTATAAAAGTGAACACTATGCATAGTTTGGTCTCTGGATCCATCTAGTGGCCAGTTCTGGTAATTACAAAATGGGAACACAGTACAGTATATACTTTTTTGGAATATTTTTTAAAAATATTTTTCAGACTATGGGTAAGTGGATGCTGATCCTACAGATAAGGGAGTCCTACTATATTTGGATCCCAGATTTCTGGAGATCTCTCACCCCAATATACAATGTCGCACTGCCCCTAGCGGGGGAAGGCCACTTCCAGATAAACCCCTGCAATCCTTCCATGAGAATTTTGAACTATGGCAGGAAATTGCAAACTGCTGGCATTGGCGCAGAAAGAGGAGATTCACCTCATTGTGCTTACATGAAAGTGGCTGACTTGATCACGTGGAAATAATACTGAGTTTTGAGAAGGTGGTCTTTCCATGTCTTCTGGTATATCTTAGCTTTGTTTTATCTGTGGGTGGTGATCAGATAGCTGTTAAAAATGCATCTAATTGTATTGGAAAAGGTTGCTTTGTTGGGAGCGATCTTCCTGAAAGTGCCCTTCCTTCTGCTGGGGAAATCACTCCAGCCTGGCCCCCGCAATAACCCTCCAGCTGGACCAAAACATTTCGCTTATCTATCACACCCGCAGAGAAGTGAAACTAAGGTCCAAAATGTTCCAACTTGTGCATACATTGGGTTTGGGCAGAAGTGAATTCCCTGGTGTATTGTGTGATCAGTGGGAAATAGATCACACTGGATCACTTCACAAGGGGTCCAAATTGCATTCTCCTTCCCTGTGGGATCACACCTTATGTTAGAGTTCACAGGGAATAAAATTTTTAAAAATAGGATTTTGTCCCTTCACGAAACATTCAGAGCCTTTGCTTGGACCTTCAGGTGCTGCCTGACAGTGTGAATGAGGAGACAGAAGAAATGAAGGCGGAGTCCCTGAAGAAAAGTGAGGATTTACTGGTAAGCGTCTTAGAAAGACAACGAATCTCTGAAATTCTGGACACTGATAGTGGCAGAGTTGCAGGATGAAGGGACTGGCATAAATGAGCATTCCCAAACATTTAGAGCAATAGCTCGGAAGTCTGCGATAACTTTTCTACTGTCAGGGTTTGGTGTCATTCATTTATATTTTTTTGGTCTCCACTCCTACTGCGGCAATGGTAGGCACAATTTTTACATTTTGGAAATAAGGAAAGAGAGACTTGTTTCCTGGTTGTGGGATGCCCTCCTCTTAGAGGCCCTGCAGGCACTGACATAGGCCTCATTTTTGCACCACATGAATACTTGCTTCTTCTTGTGAAATATTTGGCCCGGCATCCTCTTGTGGTGGTGGAACACAGAACCACTAAAAGCTCGCCAGCTCAGTCGGGCCCAGGAAAACGGCAGCAAAGTGCAGGGTGGCCAGATGACTTTATTCAGAACTTAACAAAAACACAGAGAAGCGGGCAACAAATAACAGAAAAATACAGAAAGGAAAAAGGAGCTAGAAAGAAAAAGAAAAAAGGGCTGCCTGAACATGTGCTTACCGATCTTTATATAGCATTAGATCATGACTGCTCCCCAACCTGCCACAGTTCGACACCACTGCATTAGATCATGACTGCTCCCCAACTATCATGTCAGAAAGAGTTTTCTCCAGTCAAGAGAATAGATGAACCCCAAAATACAAATGTGAAACAAAACACATGGCCTGTTGAATCGGTGAAAGAAGTATATGAAAAGGTGTGTGGGCATTGGTTTTTTTTATTGTTTAGTCATTTAGTCGTGTCCGACTCTTTGTGACCCCATGGGCCAGAGCATGCCAGGCCCTCCTGTCTTCCACTGCCTCCCGGAGTTGGGTCACATTCATGTCGGTCGCTCCAATGACACTGCCCAAACATCTCGTCCTCTGTCGTCCCCTTCTCCTCTTGCCTTCACACTTTCCCAACATCAGGGTCTTTTCCAGGGAGTCTTCTCTTCTCATGAGATGGGAAAAGTATTGGAGCCTCAGCTTCAGGATCTGTCCTTCCAGTGAGCACTCAGGGTTGATTTCCCGCAAAATGGATAGGCTGTTCTTCTTGCAGTCCAGGGAACTCTCAAGCGTCTCCTCCAGCACCACAATTCAAAAGCATCCATACTTTGGTGGTCAGCCTTCTTTATGGTCCAACTCTCATTTCCATACAACACTACTGGAAAAACCATAGCTTTGACTATGTGGACCTTTGTCGGCAAGCTGATGTCTCTGCTTTTTAAGATGCTGTCGAGGTTTGTCATCGCTTTCCTCCCAAGAAACAGGTGTCTTTTAATTTCGTGGCTGCTGTCACCATCTGCAGTGATCATGGCACCCAAGAAAGTCAAATCTGTCTCTGCCTCCGTATCTTCCCCTTCAATTTCCCAGGAGGTGATGGGACCAGTGACCATGATTGTTGGTTATAGTTACCTAACAGTATTCATATATTCTTTAGACTTTTCCTGGCTGATTATGGCTAAAGGAATTCAGCTTCCTTATCTTAAAAGAAAGAAAGAATATCAGGGCTGGAAGATGCCTCAAAGGGTCCTCCAGCTTCATCCTAGATTTTTGCTTTTCTTTAAACCAGAAGAGGAGGATCTAGGAATGTAAAATGATGAGCTAATTGTATAGAAGTACAATGTGGAGAAACAAAACCGACCGTAACAACTGTTTCGTCTGGTTGGTTGGTTTATACCCTGCTTTTCTACTTAAAAGGCAGCACTCCAAGCAACTTACACACCTCTAAAAAGAATAAAGAAAGATAAAAGCCCACAATTAGCTGACTGGGGCAGATGGGCATTGCAACTGAGCAACATCTGGAGGACCACCTGTTCCCAGCTTCCTGGGACACACAACTCTGATCTTACCGTTCTCATTACAGAGACGGACAAACATTGAAAGGCAGACTATCACCAAGGAGTGGAAAGACCTGCAAAGGTTCCTTGAAGAGCAAGGAGAACACGTATTGCAGAGTCTGGATGAGCTGGAGCGAGAAATAATTCGGAGGAGAGATCAGCCCATTTGGGAAGGTCCTGAAAGGAGGTCAACTTTTCAAGAGAATGTAGACGGCAACCAGAAGCCACTTGCAAATGTAAGGAATCCCAGTGATGGTTTTGATGTGAAACCAATCAACTTTCCTCCGTTATGATTGTTAATTTCTTTAACTTGTATCCCACTCTTCTATTTAAAAGGGGGGTGGTGTAAGGAATTATTATATATATAGTGGGACGCTACTGTAAGTGGTTTACAAAAATAAAATAAACAACATCCTTGATCGCCAAACATTTTAAGGTTTACCATTGTTCTCTGTATTGCCCCCGGCTGCGAAAGGATGATCTCAGAAAAACTGTATCTGTTTCAAAGGTACTTAAGTGTGTTGTATAGATTAATAGAGGAAGATTTGAGACTCATTGTGGTGGAGTGGAAAAAAGAGTTGGCCTATAACTCAGGAGCCCTGTGTTCAAATCCATGCCCAGTTGTGGAAACTCACTGGGGGGGGGTGGCATGGGTAGACCACCCCTTAAACATGAAGAAATAGATTCATGGCGTTGGAAGGGGCCTCTTAAGCCATCATCTCACATAAAAAACTTGAAATCCCTATTAGGGTTGGCATTAGTCGAAAGTGACATGACAGAGAAGACCACAATAAATAAAAGACTGAACAATTTGCTCAGAGGCTTGGAGAGCTCATTTTGTAGGACGGAAAGCTTCAAAACTTGTTTTTAGAATAAGTTTTCAAAAATAAGACCAGCAAATTTCAAATAACAACAATAAATGATTTTTTTAAATGGAAAAGATGACTTGAAAGCTCAGTAAGAATGGTTCTGTGGCCTTTCATTCATGCCCTATAGCCTTATTTTCTTTCTCACTTTTTCCCCACAGAGCTTCCTGGGAACGAAGAGGTATGTTCTGCCTAATATTTTTGCTATCCATTTATTATTTGGGTTGAGGTTGGGACTTGCCTAGACCATCAGTTATTGGAGACACGAGATGGGCTAGGATTGAGCAGAAAAAAGTGTGTGCGTGCATGTCTGGTTTATCATAAATCTAAGGTGGCTGGATAGCTCAGTGGTTTAGGTACCTGGCTGAGGAACCAGCGGTTGGGAGTTCGATTCCCCCACTGAGCATTTCAGAAAAGGCAGCCTGTACGGCCTGGGGCAAGCTGCACAGTCTCAAGATATCCCCAGAAAAAGGGAATATTAAACCACTTTTGAGTATTCTTTACTTGGAAAACCTTGAAAAAAGTCACCATAAGTCAGAACTGATTACACATTAAGAAAAGCGAGGGACAAAATATCTACCCATCTTTTCATACTTTTTTTTTTTGAGGGCTGTTACCTTGAAAATCTCTCAGTTCTCAAGTGGTTTTCACGATCTGTATAGAAAGAAATTGCTTGTGACAGATATAGGAAGCATTATTTACAGTCTAAATAGTCTTAATTTGCTCTGAGCAGGGCCAGTACATAACCAAATATGATCAGTGATTAAGTACTGACATTGTTTGCTGCTAGCGTGTGATTCCCTAATTGACTGGGATCACTCAGAAAGGAATGAAACAGACAAGAAATGGGCATCTCAAAGCAGCAACAAGCAGACAAAACAAGGTTTGCTCAGTTCATTTAAAAAAAAACAGCCACTGGAGATTGGAGAAGCTATTTTTTCCCTTCAGCTCCAAAAATTCCCCAACCAGCATGGCCTAATAAACTGTCCTGGGGATTCTGCAAGTTGTAATCGAAACAGGTTTATGTTCGGTTTATATATTTTAAGATTAAACTGTCATATACTTTCATATCGGGAAGTGTGTTTAAAAAAGATCTCCATTCATTGTAACAGCTGCAAACTGCTGGAAAGCTCAATAATTTAGCCATCTATCTATCTGAGAAGCCAGAGGTTGGGAGTTCAATTCCCCGCTGTGCCTGCTTGGCAGAGGATGGACATCATCTGGTGGTGTTTTAATAGGTCTGAAGAGCCATGCGGCCTCTCACTTCTTTAGCTCGCCTCTCAGAAGAGGGCCACTACCTACCCACTAGGCCTGTCTGCCAGAGATGGAGGGAGCCTGGTAGCAGGTAGTCTTTCCCTTGTAGGCTGGCCTCCCCAGTGACTGCCAGTCCCAACTGAGTCCACAAATGCAGTTGGGAGAAGACCTGCCACCTCTGGGCACAACTTGGAAGATTTATGTTTTTCAACTACAATACCCAGCATCCCTAAGCCACCATGGATGGCAGCAAGTCACAAGGGAAATGGGTGAGTGATCCAAACACAAAATTGATGTCCTCCATACCATGCGATGTTTCTTCACAATCCTGAATGACATTTCCTAAGAACTGCTGGGTAGCTCAGTGGTTTAGGCATCTGGCTGCAAAGCCAGAGGTTGGGAGTTTGATTCCCCACTGGGCCTCCTTGATAGGGGATGGACTTTTGATGGTCCATAGGATCCCTTCCATTCCTGCAGTTCTAAGATTATTATTAGGTATTTTAGGGGAGATATAAATTCTTGTTTGTTGTTTATTTTATCACCACATGAAAGAGCTAACTAGCCAACCAGGAAAAGCTTCATCTCAGCCTTAAATGGAACTTTTTTTAAAAAAAAATCCTGTCTCATTTCTCAGCAGGACAAATACAGCATTTCCTATTCAAAGTCGCTTTGCGGAACTGGAAGAGAGAATGAGACAGTTTTCTGAAAAAAGGACTGTATTGCAGGAAGTGCTGCTGACATTTAAAGGTGAGGGGGAACC